TTGGTAAGCAGCTACACTCCTGTAGATGACTCCACACCAATGAGCACATAGGCATCTGTGACTGGACTTGACGGGTGTTCAGCAATAAACACAAAAGGGACATAAGGTAGAACACAAGTAGGGGAATCTGGGAGTTGTAAGAGGAAAATATGGGGTGAATTTTATCAAAATATGTTTTGTACATGTATGAAAAGTTCAAAGAACAAACTTTATAACATTGCAAAATAAAATAAGACAGGCTTTGTTTAGACCCTGTATCTGAAAAAGCTTATAGATTCAATCTCAGGTTGGTGGTTTCTGGATAAATTCAGTGTTCCATGCTGTTACATGCAGAATGTGTAACCTCATCTATCATAGTGCTTTAGAGAGAAAACGTTCAGTATTAGCCCCTTCACTAATGCTCAAATTGATCACCAAATAAATGTGCTGTGCTTAACAATTAAAAAAAAAAAAAAAAACAGATTACTTGCTTTCAAGGTGATGTTATAAATATGGAGATTTCAAGGACAAAAGGAAACTTGGAACAAGCCAGTTGTTTGGTTAACCATGAACCAGCACCCATCCAAGGTTGTAACGATACCCTCAGATACATCATTCAAGAAGCCAACATATACAATGACAACACACAAGCCAAGGCCAGCTAGGCACCCTCATTCTCTTGACCAGTAATGCATTAAGCGTTTGTAGGGTGACCTCCAAGAGGTAGATGAAGCTTAAAAATGAGCTAAGCTTGAATTCATTCCGGTGATTTTTATGTTAAGAAAATTGTATAAGTAAAGGGAAAGCCCATACTTCACGTTTCAATATAATTACAGATAAGGAGTTCAAGGTTATCCTCTCTCTGCAGGTGGCTCCCACTCAACTATTTTGGCCCTTTGTGGAATGTATAAATAAAGCAGCTAGTGACTGCTAGCAAGGAGAGTGAATTTGAACAGAGCACAGACCCATTCACTGCAACTTCTCTGCTAAAAATGAACCTTTCATTTTTAGCTGGAAACATTAGTAAGTGTTAGAAAGGGGTAGTGATCAGTGGGAAAAATCAATATACATTCTGTAAATGAATGGAACTTTTAAGGAAAAAAAAACAACTACTGTTTTAAAGAAATAAAATGGCCAGTTTTACTATGTTAATCCTGTCAAGCCATGATCATGGGATATCTTTCCATATTCTGATATTTTCTTCTAATTATTTCTTCAGAGACTGGAAATTTTTTCATCAAGTCTTTGACTTGCTTGGTTAGGGTCACACCAAGGTATTTGATGTCCTTTGTGGCTATAGTGAAGGGTATTGTTTCCCTAATATCTTTCTCAGCCCTTTTGTCTTTTGTATACAGGAGGGCTACTGATATATATATATATATATATATATATATATATATATATATATATATATATATATATATATATATTAGTTAATTTTGTATCCAGCTACTTTGCTGAAGGTGTTTATCAGCTGTAGGAGTTCCCTGGCAGAATTTTTGAGGTTACTCAGGTATACTATCATATCATCTGCAAATAGTGATACTTTGAATTCTTCCTTTCCAATTTGTATCCCCTTGATCTCTTTAAATTGTCTTATGGCTCTAGCAAGGACTTCAAGAACTATGTTGAAGAGATATGGAGAGAGTGGGCAGCCTTGCCTTGCTCACTCATAGGTGGATATTAGATATATACTATAGGATAAGCATAATAAAATCTGTATACCCAAAGAAACTAATCAAGAAGGAGGACTATGGCTAAGATGCTCAATCCCCATTCAGTAAGGCAAAGAGGATGGACTTCAGAAGAGGGAGAAAACAGGAACAGGAAAGGAGCCTACCCCAGAGAGCCTCTGAAAGGCTCTACCCTGCAGGGTATCAGAGCAGATGCTGAGACTTATAGCCAAATTATGGCGTAGTTCAGGGAATCTTATGAAAGAAAGGGAAGATAGGAAGACCTGGAAAGGACAGGAGCTCCACAAGGAGAGCAACAGAACCAAAAAATCTGGGCACAGGGGCCTTTTCTGAGACTGATACTCAAGGACCATTCATGGAGATAACCTAGAACCCCTTCACAGATGTAGCCCATGGCAGTTCAGTGTCCAAGTGGGCTCCATTGTAATGGGAACAGGGACTGTCTTTGACATAAACTGATTGGCCAGCTCTTTGATCACCTCCCCTTGAGGGGGTATACAACCTTACCAGGCTACAGAGGCAAACAATGCAGCCACTACTGATGAGACCTGATAGACTAGGATCAGAAGGAAAGAAAGGAGGACCTCCCTATCAGTGGACTGGGAGAGGAACATGCATGGAGAAGGGGGAAGGAAAGTGAAATAGGGAGGGGAGGAGGGAGGGAGCTACAGGGAAAAACAAAGTGAATAAACTGTAATTAATAAAAAAAGTGGGAAAAAAAGAAAGAAGAATATTCTAAAGAAGTACATGTGTCTCTCCATTTGACTATGAAATTATTAAAACAATGGTCCCTAAAGTAATTAGAATTTCTTCATGAATTTTATGCCAGGAGAAGGAAACAGCTGAAGCCTGCTGTCACCCAGGAGAAACTTGTCTCAAAGGAAAGAGAAGTGATATCCTCCTTACAATCTTGCAGGAGATACTCAGACCCAGACAATCATGAAGGAACAATGGACAAGATCTCTTAGTTGCAAACAACCCTCTTTCTGTTTATTTAAGCCTAAACCTGATGCTAAGACCTTAAAGATGTACTTGGGATGGGGCACGGTTTTAGATTTCCTTGTTCTTCTTCCCCAAGTGACCACATTGAATAAATAAATCTCTCTCTTTTCATTTTGCTATTACTAGTTTGTTTACTCAGATTACTAGGCTGGATAACTGAACTGGCTTACAGGGAAATGTCAGGACCCAGACTGTGACCATCCTAACTCTAGAATTACTACTCTGAGCACAATCCCTGTCTGATAACTACAGACAATAAAGCAGCACCTTCAGTGGTGTTTATACTGACCGCCTGCTTTCAGAGCTTAGTTTCTGCATATTCCTGTGTCAAGGCTTGCCTTGATATCAAATCATTTTATAAGCACTATGTCTCTAATGATTGGAATGCTACAGTTGTGGTGACCCTGCAGAGTTGTCCCGTGTACCAGCTTAATATCAGTTTGACCTCAGATGGCTAAGGAAATTACTAAAAATGATTAACAACAAATACTTGATTTTCAAATTTTTAAGAAGTATGAAAGCAAAATTTGCATCCAAAATATTAAGTGTAGTTTTAGCCTAGCATGTAATTCTCTGCTGGGATGTCTGTTTGTTCCTTGGGCGTTATGATACAGTGTTAATTGTACAGAAAAGAAGAATTCATTTTTTAAATAATATTTTATTTTTATTAATTACAGTTTATTCCCTTTGTATCCCACCTGTAGTTCCCTCCCTCTTCCCCTCCCAATCCTACTCTCCCTCCCTCATCTCCTCCTATGCTCCTCTCCAAGTCCACAGACAAGGGAGGTCCTCTGTATTTTTAAAAAGTAGAAGCAAGGCTGAGAAGGATGTTGAAGGCCATGTTTTTTCTTTTTCCTTCCATTCTAAAGTCTGACTTCAGAAATATCTACATTTTGATTCAAATCACGCTTAATAAAAGAGGACAAGTCAATATTTTTAGTTTAAGAATTTGCAACGGCACTAATGATTAAAGCATTAGGAAGTTATTATTTTTATCAAATCATTTGATGCAAACATTTGTCGATGATTATTTGGACAATTACAGAACTGCAGCTACATACTAGGGAGAACAGTCAGTGGGTGATGTGTACATCCAGACAGTTCTTGGTAATAATGTTGTACCAGACTTTTTTAGAGAATATACTGATTGGTGCTTAAACTATACAATTTAAATAATCATAAAGAAAGGGCAAAATTCATTAAATAGCTGATATCAAATTTGTAAAAAAAAATTACAAAGGAAAATACAAAAATAGATTAAGGAAATCCCTACATTTTAGCCTCTACCTAATATCCAAACACTAGGACACACAGTCATATTCCAACCAACATTAACTGACACATTTTCAGGAAAAAAATGGCAGAATGTGTCATCTAAGACATTCATTCATTTATTTAAAACATACATCCATGTTCTAATTTATTTTCAGGAATTATTTATAGGTCAGATAAACAAGTTTGATTTGGCCCTTGACCTTATGAGGGAAAAGCTATTTTTAATAGTTTCCAGAAATTAAGGGTTAATTATTAAGATGTTATGATAAAGAACTTGCAAGTAAAAAACGTCATGCACCAAAACTAACCAGATGTCTATACATCTCAATGAACATATTCCTATACACTTAGAATAGTCATTCTGAAGTTGCATTAGAATATTAGAGAAGAAAGAAAAAAAGAGTATTAGAGAAGAAATGGAGCATAAATATGATCTTTATGTGATTAAAACACAAAGCTTTTGGTCTAGTATGAGCTAATAAAAATAAACAAAGTGTTACATATAAAGAAAGGGATTATCAACAATTAACTGCTTTCAACCTGAGATGATTAGCATAGTAAGACAATTTGAACACTCAAAAATAAAGTTAAGAAAGAAATAGGAAAAAAAAGAAAACTTTCAACTATCCTCCCAAACACACTTTTCTTGGTTAGTTTAGAAAGTAACTCCTCTAACTAGCTTCCATTAAGAGAAACAAAAGCTCAAGTTTCCACACATAGTGGATATTGTTTTATTTTCTTATTTTAATAACAAATATTGACTTGAGGAAAGCTGAAGCCGTTTCAGTTCTGTGGCAGAAAAAAAGGACAAGGAAAAGCAGAGCCACCACAGTCAGTGTCACGTGTAGAAGACAGCTGTAGCTACACTGATTTATTGTTGAGAAATTGGTTCTCTCTAGGGTGAGCCTATGTTTTCTGCTGATAAAATAACACACTTGTGAATCTCAAGGAGTTATATCTGAACAATCACTTCAAGCATCATTTTTTTTTTATAATTTTAGTTAAGGAAAATTCAACACTAGCAAAATACCTGAAAAGTACTACACCTACCATTAATCCACCGAGCTTCTGGATTATGAAGTCCAAAACCTTTCTCCAAAAGTTCCTCTAGTGACAGTCTCGTTTCTGAAGAATTTGTTAGCTCATCTGAGAAGAGAAAAAATACAAAGTCAGGAACATCTTTGCTCTTTTTCATACAATAATAAGACATAAGATTTAAAATATTTTGCTTCAAAAAATATATTTTAACTAGACATCAATCTGAAGTGAGCATTTGAAGTAGACTTTGGCATTAAGATTGTTTCATAGCTGCGTAATCCCAGCATTCTGGGAGGCAGAAGCAGGTAAATGGTCTACAAAATGAATCTAGGACAGCCAAGGCTGCACAAAGAAACCTTGTCTTGAAAACGAACAAACAAAAAAATAAACAAAATAACAACAAAAAAAGATTGTTTAATGATCTTATATTTTGTTTTGATTTTTAAGGAAGGGTTTTTTAAAACCCAGACTGGCCTTGAACTTTCAATCATCTTGCCTCCAACTCCCAAATATTAACATTTTAAGAGTACTCTACCACATCTGACCTCAAGTTTTTAAATTAACCGTAGGGTTTGAATATGTAATTGTTTCAGTTTGACGTAAATTTAATAGATCTATCCCAAGTTATGATTAATACACACTATATAAAAGCAGCCAAGAACTACTGTTTTTCACTGTTAAACCAAACAAATACTTTTGGTGTTTAATCATAAGCCATTCTTACTTTTCACACTATTTAACATTAAACTTAGCCTTTTTGTGAAAAGCTAACAATTAGAGAGGTGGGGACTGTCAAAGGTAAGAGAGAACATTCTAGTAAAAGACAATTCAAATTAAATAGAATGAACACAAAATTGTACCACACAGTCACCACCTGGCAACTGTTAAGCAAATCCGAGACTTGAATACCAAGTTCAAAGTGTAAAAAGCTATGAAGAAAACAAGTATCACTCATTAACCATTGGAAGAACAGCATGATTCGATTTTCTTTTTACATTTCAACACCTAGAAATAGAAAGCTATGGCTTGAGTTACAAAGTTGCATTTACAATACCCCTTTATATTCAAGGCCTATGGACAGCAATTTGTCACTTTCTTGCAAAATAATAGCATTGTTTATTTGCTGAGTGAATTCTTTTCGGTGACCTTTTAGCTGTGCCCTTCCCTCTAACTGAAAACAAAATGTCAAAGACATGTACTAATCTCACTTGATTTTATCTTTTAAAAGTTCAGCACTTACAGCACCAAGAGCTTGCTGAGACTTCTCTGCAGTGTCTGTGCAGTCACTCATTTCAAACGCAGTCCAGTGAATCCACTAACTAACACTATGATTGCCAAGATATATTTTTTTAAAATATGAGAATTATCTAATTTCTGCTTTAGCACCACTCATAATTACATGCAGATAGAAAAAAATCATAGACAAAGATCCTATTATTTACAGAGCAAACAAAAAGGTGGAAATTTCAACTTTCTTGGGGACTCAGTACTCAGCAGTTCAGGGCACTCGCTGACTTTCCAGAGGACCCGAGTTTGGCTCTCAGCACACACACAGGACTTCCTGTAATTCTAGCTCCACATTATCTGATGCCCTCTCTTGTCCTCTATGGGCATGTACACACATGTCACACACACACACACACACACACACACACAAATAACTCTAAAAATCATCTAACTTTCTGAATTCTAAAAAAAAAAAATGTTCAATTAACAAGTATTTGTAAAGCAGAAGACCTACCCCTTCAGAGGAGCTAACATTTACAAAGCAAAGCCTATGATGGAAGGGAGCCTTAAGGACGCAGGGTGCTGAGGGAGTTCAGAGACACGTGGAGATTCTCTTACACCAGATATCAAAGAAATCCTCAGAAACACACTGATTGCCATTCCCTACAAACATTCAGACCATTCAGATACTATGAGAGTCAAGTTAAAGAACCCAACATACTTTTTTTTTTTTTTTAATCACTGGCAGATTGGACCCAGGGACTCTCACTTCACTGGCAAGTGCTCGATCTCTAAGCAAGTTTTACACACTTAGGACGATGAATATACACGCATGAATATATGCATGTATACACACATGTGCAAAGGTTTATTTGACCTTGCAAAGAAACTATACTACACTAAATGATCTTACGTATAAATCATTCAAGTATTCGAAACAAGCATTTGTAGTCCTCAAATAGGTCTTTTTCTTCTTTAAATTTATTGCTATTTCTACTTGTGTGTGAGTGTGCGCATTCGTACATGTGTCCAAAGAGGCAAGAAGAGGACATCTGATAAGCTGGAGGTAGAGTTACTAGGGCTTGTCGAGACCTGAACTTGGGTACTCGGGAAGATCAGCAATCACTCAAGTCCCTTAAAGCATGTCTTTTTTATTATTATTGTTTATTATAATTTATTCATTTCATATCGCAGCTGTGGCCCCCTCCATTGACTCCTCCCAATCCACCCTCCCTCCCTCTTCTCCCCCATGCCCTTCCTCTTGTCCTCCCCTTATAACTGACCCTATCCTATCAGGTCTTGTTAGGGCTGGCTGCATCATCTTCCTCTGTGGCCTGGCAAGGCTGCACACCGCTCTCCTCCAGGGGGAGGTGATCAAAGATCCAGCCACTGAGTTCATGTCAGAGACAGCCCCTGTTCCCCTTACTAGAAAACCCACTTGGAAACTGAGTCTATGGACATGGAGAGGACCTAAAACATGTCTTTTTACATGATCTTTTTACATCATACTGAACCTCTTTTAGCTAGGAATCTTTGTTTATATACACACACACACACACACATACATACACACACACTCAGAGACATACACAAATGCATATACATACAGAGACACACAAAGAGACACATGTACACAAACACATACCGACAGACACACACAACACACATACACACATGCACACTGTAGCATCTGAAAACCTTTCAATGTTTTCAGTATTAATGCTGGGAACAAGTTACTATTCTCACATTTTCTTGCATTGGAATTATTTCATTTTATTTTTTACGTACTTAATTTACCTTCCTATTGGATTTAATGGTAAAAGCTTGATATTATTAAGAACAGAATTCTCCCAATGCAACTGACTAGTAAAGATAAGGTTAGTGACTGTATATACTTTATCACAATTTTTCAAAAATTGCATATATGCATGAAACTCTGCAGAATAAAGGAAAATTATTAATAAAAATAATGATGATTGAATCTTGTACTTTTCTGCACATTCAGTAATAGCATACTTGCATAGATTTTCATATTCTGTTTTTACTATGGTTTTAATCATCTGTTGTTTAATGCATGTTTTATGTAATTGTAGGTTCATATGCAATTCTAGTGGAAATCTATCCTGCACATGTCCTGCGCACTCTTCGGACAGCTTCCATCCGTGAAAATAATTTTGCTGAATAAGAACATAAAAGGGTATTGATAATGGTTAAGTTTCAGGTCCCTTGGTGATTTCATTACATTTACTTCTATTCATTTCTCTTTGAATTTTGTTCTATACAATTGACAACACCCACATCAGTCAGGATACAGAAGAGAGTCATCACCAGGGGCTTGCAGATCCTGTACCTTGCTCTTGTTAACTCCACCCACCTATTAACTGTGCCAACCAGTGTTCCCCATAGACGACTGCAGTAAGCATGTTGGAGCGGTCCCAGTAAGTCGAGCTCCCCAGCCTTCCCTTACATAGGAAGGCTGAACTTCATATAGATACTGAAGACCCATGAGTATGAACATGAAATGAAACTGCTCATCGCAACAAAGGCAGCAATGTGAGGGCGATGGAAGATGAATAGGAGTCTAAGTGTCATGAGGAAAATGTGTTCAAAGTCATTATGACTGTAGACAAAACCCAGTACCATGAGCGAAGAATATGTCAAGTTAAAATTATAATAAAATGTTTGTGTTAGTTCTTTTGTTTTGATAAAGGAATATAACAATAAAATGACTCCAAACAAAATTCTGCTATACCCATATATCAGCGCCTTTCTCAGCCATCATTAGAGAAGCTTTCTCTTGTAGTCTACAGGGACTACACAGAGTGAAGATTGTGTAGTCCTCCATTCTAATTGGGTTGTCTTCCTCACACCCCTCCCCTCAGTGCTGAGGGAGTTACAGCAAAGCAAAGACAAAGCTTCTGTCTGCCAGAGGAGATGGACCACACAACACAACCCGTGTGTGTATTCACAGAAACTGAGGCAGCATGCATTAGGCCTACACACAAAGGGCTCCAGGGCTGGACTGGGGAAGTGGACGTGGATTTCTATCCTCAATCCACAAGCTCTCTTCATTTGACATATTGCAAAACAGTTTTCTCCGGTGGAGTCTCATTGAGGATACAAATCACACTTAGGGGCAGACACGTGCCAAGCAGTACTTACCAGCACAAATAAACTCAACAGTATTTTCGTAGACATTTTGTCTCATGTTGCTTTGTTTCGCAATTCTTTTATTTTTATTTTTTTTGTCTTACTCATCCCTTTTTACAAAAAGAAATTTCTTACTAAACTATGTTCATTTGTTCTGTGGTATAAAATCAAGATATCTCTTTATTGCTAAAAATCTGCACTCATGGATGGATGCACAAAACAAATGTGAAACAATGAGTAATCTTTTTAAAAAGGAAATAGGAAGCATGTATAAGCCCGTATGGAAACCTAATTCTTCATGAACTTATGTCATAGTCAGACATGAGGAGAGGTAACTCAAATTACTTAGTATTTCATATATTTTAATGAGTGTCTCAGTAGTTTAACCTCAAAGCTAATTTACAGCAGAGAATCTTAGAGATGTCATTCATTACCTCAGACACTCCAAATAAACACTACCATGTAACTCACAAAGAATATTAGATTGTATATCACTCCGGCATGCGAAGATCCTTACTTAATACTTCCACGGAGTGGCTTTCAATTACCCTTAACATCAGAAAAATATTTGCTAAAATTATATATTTACTTCTTTTGGAGCTTACCTTTAGAAGTTTGTTTATTGTTTAGTGTTTAAATACAAGGTATCTGCTGTGGCTAAATTAAAAATATGTTTAAAACGTTCATATATTGGAAGAGTGATTCTCTAGAGCACCAGTGCTCAGAGGAGG